ACGAAATTCAAGAAGAGGCACACTTGACTGATAAACAGTTTTAACAAAAAAATAAGGAGATACCCAAGTTACAGAAAATACTACTCTAAGAGAAAATAAATAAAAGATACTTGAGGTCAGAAGTGTGACCTCTAATATCAAGCCTTACATTACATAAGAGCACACCTAATTGTGCTCTTACATTTAAGAGTAATGTTTACTACCGAAAGCCCAAAAGTAAGAAAAATATGATCTTAAAAAATAAAATCCAAATATCTGAAGGCAATTTTATAGTAAAATCAGTCTACTAGAAAAATATTGTACACTGTATGGCAATATGGGTTTTTGGAGATACCAATGCATTGTATAACCAGAGCAACAGTACAAAATAGGCAAACCTTAATGCTAATACTGTTTTACTCACTCCTGACACCACAAACACTTCACAGATCATTGAATTCTACTCAAAATCTTAACTTTTCTCAAACTTAAGAAGATGTTATGCATTTACAGTACTTACAAAACCTTTACAATCCTTACTCATGGCAGCTTTGTTTACATTAAGCTTTTACAAGTTTTAACATTTCACAACACAAGGTTATTGTTATAAAAACTTCATAGTGCTTCAGAGCTCAAGCTATTTAACAAATGTAAACAAAGCCACCATAAGAGAGAAAAGATGTACAGGTTTTGCAAGTGGTTGCATAAATGCTTAATGAATTAACTCACTTTCCTTCCTTACGGCCAGTCGGGAGGGAGGGACATCACGCTGGACTTGTGATCCTGTGGTCCCGGGTTCGATCCCAGGCGCCGGCGAGAAACAATGGGCAGAATTTCTTTCACCCTATGCCCCTGTTACCTAGCAGTAAAAATAGGTACCTGGGTGTTAGTCAGCTGTCACAGGCTGCTTCCTGGGGGTGGAGGCCTGGTCGAGGACCGGGCCGCGGGGACACTAAAAAAAAAAAGCCCCGAAATCATCTCAAGATAACTACCATCCCTTACTCCACTTCCACAAATTTCCCTTTTCCAACACAGCCTATATGTTTATACTGTACTGATTGACCATTGCACATCTTATGATCATTTAAATAAAACATTCAAATATATCAAGGAGAAGAAAAATATATATACACATTTTATTTTTTAATGTATACAGTATTTATAAAAACTGCCAAAATATGACTAAATGTTACACTCTTCATGAGAGCAAAGAACAGCAATAACCTAATCAGTTTCATATAAACCAATGGTTATGAGCAATAACTCAAAATTGTATGCCATTCAGTTCAAAATAAAGATGAAAATTTTCGAGCATTACATCATCATAATGGAAAAAAACAAATACAGTAATAAGGTAGGTGGTTTACATAATTCAATGGTTATGGGACATCAAAATTGCCTGTGCCTTTCCATGGAATGACAAACCCTTACTACAGTACTATTAATTAATATAATGCATTTTACTGCAAATTGAGTATATAGTTTATACAAATTATTATATCACAAAGAGATTCAAGAAAATATAAATGTTTAATTTGCCATATGATGGCAAGCAATTGCTAAGGTAGTTGACTAGATATATTTATTACTGCTATGCCACAGAAGTGATCAAGGTTTTCTAACTAAATATTAATTTATCACTGAGGAGCAATTTATGAAGGCATCACTATCCCTACTGTAGAGTATATACTAGCAATTTTATCAAGTAATCTTTAAAGGGAAAAAGTGGAGGTGATCGTGTGCATGTGTTATACCAATGTTTATCAGGTATCGAGACTCCAAATTTGAAACAATTTAGAAAAAAAATACATGAAACTGACTCTCCCTCAAAATTATCTGCTACAAAGTCTCTTCTCTTTGCTTATGCTTGCAACTATGATGGGGCTACTATTTTAAAGTGATTTAATGTCTACAGTGCTAAAATATCTTTCAAAAGCCCCAATACAAAACATTAATTTTTGAAAACAAAATTAAAATTAAAAATGAAAACATTACTTTACCCAAAGAATAAATATATTTGAAGACATTTTACTTCTCAATGCCAATATAAAGTATCCAAACTAAATGCTGTACATAAATGACTTAAGCTGCAAACCATGACTACAAAGCAAAAAGATATTTACCAGATACTGAAAAAAATTAATATTAATTGCAAAACCATTGGTACACACAAAAAAGAGGGGGGGGGGGAATTATATAATACAGTATTTACAATTACTCTTTAAATTTGCAAGCGAGACTGGGATGAAGTCGACTCAAGCCTTTAATTTGTACTGAATAATCCTCAGGTTCCTAGCACTGCACAGCATTTACACTAGATGAAATAATGCACAACAAATGTTTTAGTACATTATTACACAAGGCACCAGAAGCCTTGTTAACCAAATCCAAAGTATGATTTTCTTCAACATTATATTCAAGAAATCAAAATGCCATAAAGAATAAACTGAGAAGTATTTATAATCCAAATGATCGCAGTATTATAAAAGTAATGTAGCCTGCCTCTTAAGTAATAAAGAAAAAAGAATATCCCACCTATATGACAATTTACAGTAAAATTCAGCTAATATTTTTAGTTCTCCAGAAAGAAAAAAAAACACAGTACAAGCCTACAGTATAGTATAAGAGTTAATAAAATTACAATGTACCCCAAGAAAATGTTTTACAAAACTTAATACAACAAATGGATAAAAATAAAAATACATATCCTAAATTTGGAAGTTAAGCTAAACAAAAAATATATATACTGTATAATACATATATACTGGTGTGAGAATGGCTGCATAAAGATGCAAGCCATAGAACACCAAGAACTATGACCTGACCAGGATTCGAACTCACGACATCTAGGATCACCCCCAAATGTACACAGTACAGTACCATGACCACTGCACCATTAGCGAGCAGGAGGATAAACACAAGGTACCCACTGGAAAAACGAAATCTTTCAGGAGTCAGGAAGAGAGAAAGATCTGGGGATTGATATCACACTAGACCAGTCCTCTGAAGCTCACAAAAGGATAACATCAGCGGCAAATGCAAGGCTAGCAAACATAAGAACTGCCTTCAGAAACATGTTTAAGTTATCATTTGGGTACTTCGTACCCAAATGAGTCACAGGAATGTTAGAAAGAACTTTTTCAATGTCAGAGTAGTTAACAGATGGAATGCATTAGGCAGTGATGTGGTGGAGGCAGTCTCCATGTAGATATGATAAGAGCCCAGTAGGCTCAGGAATCTGTACACCAGTTGATTGACAGTTGAAGCAGGACCAACTAAAGCTCAACCCCCACAAGCACAACTAGGCAAGTACCATGGATTGGTGCGGTGGCCACGGTACTGTGTACGTTTGGGGGTGATCCTGGACATCATGGGTTCGAATCCTGGTCGGGTCATATAGAGTTCTTAGTAATATATACTGTACTGGTATTGATTTTTTTTATAAACATCGTTACCAATGACGGCATACTGGCACTGATGTGCAATAAAGCTGTTCCTAAAGTCCTAATCTTTGTCTACTTCAACATTCTTTATCTATATTATAACTTCACAAGTATAATACACTTTCATTATGGAATATTAAATGAGAATGTTACAAACATTACTCGGCTGAATACAACTGGAACTAACAAGGCTAACCTTGTTAGTATCTTGCTACTTGACAGGTTACAGTACTGTACAGCTGTAGTTGATAAACAACCTTTGATATTTTTAGTTACTGTAGATATTTTTCTATAGATTTTGAGCTTTGGTTAAAATAAGTCATTTACATAATAATGAAAATTATAAAGGCATCCCAAAGATATGTACAAACATAATAAGGGTTAATCAGATGTTCCACACCAAGCTATATTCTCCTTAAACAATATTTTAACTGCATATGAAATTATATTTTATTTGGAATGAAATTAAGACACAAAGAGCAATGCACTTACCAATTTAACTGTGTTTATAATATAAACAAGGCAATCTAATTAATGATCTAGATTAGCATTCTGACAATTTAATAAAATAAAATGGGGTTTCGGAAGACAAAAATTATTATAATCAGTCAAGCGAATCAAGAAAGGCATTGAAAATACACACGGTACCTATATTATCATAGAATAAAAATATAATAATTCCGAACAACTTGTAACTGTAGTAAATGTGAAAGATGTATAATATATTGTATTAAATATACAGCATTCTCATGCCCATAACAATACAACCCCCCATACTTACCCACCCATAGGCCTAGGCTAATTTGACCAATATCCAAACAATTATTTTCCAATTGTTTTTCTAGGTGTATAATCTACACCCATTTTTGAAAGGTAAATCTTGCAAAGAGCTTATAATATATTGTATATAATGTCTTGAGAAAATCCACAATGGTAAGCCAGCCAGACAGATAATGTAAATACTGTACTACTGGTGTCTAATAAGTACCACTAGGAATTTGTTAATTCATTCCGAGTGTGATATGTAACTATGTATTGTAATACAGTAGGTTTAGCAGTTTGCCATTTCTCTCATTTCTGAATTTTCTTACACTTTACAAAAATTTAGACAATTTGTCTACGTCAAATATTTTGGAATAATAAATGGGAGATTTAAGATGTCGTTTGGATATTAAAAGCCAACTATCAAATTAACATATCCTAATACTGCTACTGTATTATAATATTTAAAAATAGTACAGCATAATGATTTATGTTATGTACAACTGGCCATTAAACCACCAGTGATGCCTATAATTCTTATAAAGCAGATCAAATTGTAAAGCATCACCATTTTAGAAGACTACTGTATATTGCAATTAAACACCTATTCTGATGTTGAGAAAAATCCATGTTTAATTTTCACATGCAGTAATGCTTACGAAAAAATGAAGAGCGTTACAATTCACACTTCATCATCAGGAAGACGTGTTAAGACTTTCACTCGTATCCCTTATAATCTGATGACTATGCATTTGTCAATACATGTATTATTTTATTTCACTGCTTGTAAAAGAATGAATCAATAATACAACTATGCTTTAATAAAGTATATTTATTTTAGATATGAATAAAAATATGTAGTTTGAAAACCCTAAATTTTTCACAGCATATTATGTACAGTTATTTATATTATGGCCTGGGTAATGGTCAGAAACAGTTTACCGGGGTTGTAACATTGATGCATTTGACATCAATTTAATACAGTACTGAAGTCAACTGTCAAAGATTGCCAAAGTTGAACCACAGCTGATCATTGTTTACTTGCAGTCTGTGTAGTAGAATATTTGTATACTTCAGCCTGAAGCCCAACAATCTGCGATAGGTACAGTGTAATACCAACACAAACATTGCAGGTTGTTAGTGTACATATCAACTGCATCCAAATTAAAAAAAAAAAAAAAAAAATTAGGTGTAATGTAAAAGTACAAAAAATTTAGGGTGTATTTCTGTAAAGAAATTATTTATACACCAAGAAATTGTAATTTTATGATGTATAATAATCTTCCACTGGAATGGAGAATAAACAAAATCGACAAACACATAAAAAGCATCAAAAAAATATACACAGTACCATATTTCTATTATCATAGAATAGAATGTGTAATAAGAAAGATCTGAAATATATTAAATGCAATATACACCATACAGTAGTCATTCAAACCAGACCCCCTTCTTATAGCCATAGGTTTGACCAGTACCCAAGTAATTATCAGAGTTTTCAAGGAGTACAGTACCAGCTTAAATCGTTAATAGTCAGTCGATGCAACCTATGATTTCAAATTGACAACACTAACAAATATTTACAGAAGTGATTGTGCCATGTGCTAAACTATGAAAGGTGTTATCAATTGGCACATGGGTTGTGCAAAAGGTGAGCCGCAAGCATGATAAAACCCTCCCTATCCACACCTGGGCCGCCAGTGTTCCACAACGCAGTACCATGCAAATGCAGTAACTAATGAGAGGTGAAGAATGATGCAGTAGCGGCCAACCCTAATCCAATAGCTGTCCATGTGAGGTATCTCCACGCCTTACTTTCCATATCTTCTTCGGCTGGAAACTCTTCACATATTTTTATCTGCAAAGGAGGAAGACTAATTACAAATGCTGACATATCAATGATTTACAGTACTGTACTGTATTTGCATTAACTTTAATAATAAAACACTTGGATGCTGCATTTACTTTAAATGCTGTACAGAAAATTTGTTTAACGATGGTAAGTGTTAAACTATTGTGCTATACAGTACTGTATTCAAATTTCAGCTACAATAAAGTTTGTATTATTTATTAAATGTATTAAAAGATTAATTTTTTTCCAACATTATATTTCGGCAATTCTTCAAATTGAACTAATGAGGTATCAAAAACTGTCATAACCCTACTTTCCATGGGATGGGGATAAATCAGTGAAGAGAGGAGAGCATTATATAAAAAAATTAATATACAGGTCTGTACTGTATATTTAATAAAGTGACCAATCCATTTGCCAATCTCACACACAAAATAAACCCTGCAATAAATGCTGATGTATACTGTATACATCAGGTAACAAATTGTTAAAGTTTAACATACGTCATTGTTAAAGCACAATGTGCCAAATAAAATATATTATTAAATATTTATCATGACTATTTCACCCAGAAAAAGACAAATACAGTATTTACTTATGGGTAGTGTGGAAATATTTAGGCATAATTTCCAGAAGCCATCAAATTCAAGGGCAGAGAGGACCACACACACTGGTGTAGATTTTTTTTTTTAACAAGCCAATTGGAGTTTTTTTATAAGGAAAACATGATTTTATACATGTAAATATCACACATTTGGTCGATAATGGTAAAATATTAAAAAAAATTATCTTCCAGTATATTCGGTACATCAAAGTACAGTGGCACCTCGATTAACGAGCGGCTCTATCTACGAGCATTTCGAGTAACGAGCAAGCCACTCGCAGCAAATTTGTCTATTGATGAGCTTCACCTCTATTAACATGCAAAACCACATGGTGCTTCCTAGCATCTCGCGGGGTCTCTCAAATTCTCGGACGCCTCCGACGCCAATGTTGTTTTTGTATCGCGCACGACAAGCATCCCTCTGCATTTATTTGCGTTTTTTTTTTTTGTGGTTTTGTGACTGCAATTTGTAACGCACAATGTTGCCAAAGAAGCTGCTTGCTAAAGATAGTGTTGTCAAGAGGAAGAAAGACAATTACTGTGGATTTGAAAAAGGAAATTATAGCAAAGCATGAGCGTTGTGTCTGTGTGACTGATCTCACAAGGTAGTATAGCAGGTCCTCATCAACAATTTGCACCATTAGTAAGGGGATGAGGAGGTAAGGGAAGATGCTGCCTCTTCCAGTGTGATCAGGGAAGTGTATGAAAAAGTGACCGCATTCTTGGAAAAGCTGCCCTGATAAAGCAGTGACAACCCGGTGTGTGAACATGTTTAATGACAATTTGCTGTCTCATTTTAGGAACATCCTAAAACAAAGACAAAAGCAATTGTCAATAGATATATTCTTTGCAAAAGTAGAGAAAAGAAGAGCCAGTGATAGTGAACCACAACCCAGTCCCAGTGGGGTGAAATTCCCAAGAATGAGAACCCGCCTGACTCAGAGGTGGATTTTCCTTCCACACCATAACCCCTCTCCTCCTTCCCACCTCCCCATCGTCTCCCTCAAGCCAGCAACAACTCTTCATAAGGTAAACGTGAAAACAGTACGACAAAACACTTATAATTCCATGTGCAGTATTATATTTACATTATAAAATGACATACAAGTATGGATGTTTTTGGGAGTGGAACGGATTAAATTTATTTCCTTTATTTTAAATGGGAAATTTGTTTCTCAAGATGAGTTTTCCACATAACGAGCTCTGTGCCAGAACAGATTAAACTCATTAATTAATAATTAATTAATTCTGAATCTAATGTGGTTCAATCACACAAGAGTAACCAAGAAATTCAGGCTGCCAAACCTGTGTTTGAAATATATGCCAACACAAAAGTCACCCATTTCAACATTCCAGTTTAGAGAATATTTGAATATAGCAGTTTGATAAATATTAATTGCATTATAATATTGTGAACCTTCCAAATTCTGAATCTATTTAACAGACTGCACAAGGCACGAGACCAAAACAACCCACTAGCTATCTCCTTTAAGTAATTTCCAGCAGATAGTTTTTTTCCCTAATTTTTTGCCATTGTGATTTACTGTGGTGACTCCCCAGAGATTATGTACTGGATCACTAGACATCTGTGACCCACGAGGCTTACTGGGTGCAGGTACTTTACCACAATCATGCCCCACCTTACAAGGGGGGAGATTATTTAGTGAAGGTCAGAGATGGCACCAGAAATGCTAATTTAATAATGGTTATGGTAAACATGCCTAATCATTAACTCGTTCAAATTAACATATTTCATTAGAAATTTATGAAAATGAACAGCTTTTGTTGTTGGAAAGATAATGGACCTAGTTTGAAATAAACATTGTATGGCAAATTTTACCTTTGAGGGAGAAGTTTAGCTTAGACAGAAATGAATATTGATTCACATTTCCTTAACTAGTACAGAAGACAAAAGTACTAGAGTACCCTAGTTTTATAGGGCTAGGTCGAAATTTAAAAATGTTTAATCTAGGAAATAGTTTGGGATGCCAAAATGTCAGTGGGCCAGTTTTATAAGAAATCACATAACTGACATGCATTTTGTAAGTGAAGCATTGCATTCAGTGGGGGTGCAAATAAAGTTTTTTGAAAGTGATTATCAGACCATCTCTGATTATTAATTTGAATGAAATCCCTTTAATGAAAATCTTAAGAAAAATGAAGTTTTGGGTTTGGAAAATTAGAGGACAGGATCATTTACCACATTATGGTACATGGTGCTACTTTTTAAAAATAAGATTTAGAGACAGAGAGAGGCATTTTAGTTGAGACCAACTAAAATGCCTAAACCTGTATTCTCCTGGGCATAGGCAGGAGATACATAAAATACACCTGGAATATATTAGAGAGGCTGGTCCTGAACCTGCATGCAGAAATAACACCACGAGTCAAGATGACATGGCAGGATGTGCCAAATACTCCTGTTGAAAACCAAAAGTGCGATAGGTACCCTGAGGGAGAACTATCAACATCAGAGGCCCGAGACTGTTCAATACGCTTCCACTACACATAAGGGGCATAACTAGCCGACACCTCACAATGTTCAAGAGAACTTGATAAACATCTCCAAAGGATACCTGATCAACCAGGCTATGATTCATACGTCAGGCTGCAAGCAGTCACGTCCAACAGCCTGATTAACCAGTCCAGCAACCAAGAGGCCTGGTCGAGGACCAGACCCGCGGGGACACTAAGCCCTGAAATCATCGCAAGGTAACTGCACAGTAAGGTAACCCATTAAGCATGGCTAAACCAAAATTCTATGGTTCATTGAATATGGACAATTTTACAATACTGTACCTGTATTGTAGTATAAAAAAAAGGGCCAATTATTTGGAAAACTGGATTATTTGTGAAGATCTTAAACCTACCCATCAGGATTTTGGTAGTACAGGGTACCTGATTATTTTGTACTGAACTACTCAAACAGAATTTTAGAGGATCCAATGTAATAAAATTTAGGCTGACTGAGCATCTGCAGCTAGGGCCCACAGGGGACCACATGATATGAACATGATCTGTATGGAATGAATAGCCATTTGCTTCAAATGTTATTGGAATAGAGAAGAATGAGTTTACTTCAAGAATGAATTCGCTCCAATAAACTTTGTCGTACCAAGTTTGCAGTGTACAGTACAGTACTAACTAATCTATAAACAATATTAGTTCTAACTGCTGTATACATTTTTACAATTGCAGCCAATGAAGGTAACTACCCGTAGTGCCTCATGCCAGAAATCTCTGCCGATGCAAAACTGTAGTGAAGACCAGTAATGGAAAGTCTCTACTCTTCCACAGCAAAAGAACTTTGAATGCATCCATACTATGCTCAGTTCTACAATTTTTCTGCAATAGTTCTCATTTTTCTTTATGAACTCAAGAAACATTACTTTTACACTCCCTGTACAATTTAGATTAACCAAGAAAAGTTGTATAGATGTTTAAAAGACCAAAATCAAGCACCAATCTCCACCAAATGGCAGCATTACTGTGGAAAACAGGTTAGTGGTGTAAGCAATCCTTACTTTACTCTTAGGATAGTGAAGCCTGTGCTAGGGTAAGCAGTGACAAAGGTTGGGAAATGGAGAGCTATTGGGATACCCTTAGGACCTTAGGAAAAGGGGGATTTCATTTCACTGCATTATATTTTCAAATTGGTTACCTCAGTAAGTCCTCTATCTTTCCTGCAATGGTGCAAAGCAAAACCTACTTGTGCACCAAGCATGCACAACTGGGACTTACCAATGAATGCAGGAATTTTCAGGTAGAGAGGAGCACAGGTGATAGACCAGTCATGAAAACTTATAATTTTTCATATACTATCAGTGGGGATGAGAGGATCTGGGGAATATCTGGTAGCCAAGATTCTGTTTTACCTTTAGAAGCACTGGGCCCCTAATATTGGCAACTTTAATTAACTAGATTATTTAATGTATAATTTTAGTACCTACTATTTAATCACTAACATGTTCCTATGTACTATTTTATGAAGTTGTTTAAGTATTAATGTATTAATTTGTATTAATGGATTCTATACTGTATGTATATACTGTATATTGTACATTGAAAATAATCAATTTATTAAATAAAGTAAACACCGCTTATCTTCAGACATACAGCATGGAAAACATTAAAATAGGTAGGCCAAGCATTAGTGTAAAAGTATTTAGTGTTTTGATGCGAGAGTTGTCTACTTGAGGTCAATGTTAAAGAGATTGAATAACAATACAGTAGGGTGTTCTTCACTGTCATCATGCTAAGTGATAAAAATCGACCCCCAAAAAAACCAAGCTTATACAATACAATTCTGCAAAATGGCATTACTGTAATTTGACATGCCTAGAAACCGTTTCCAAATCATGTGTTTTACTGCATTCTCTGATCTTCAAAATAGATTCCTGGACCAGGTTTGTCCAGGCATGGTAACAATAAAATGTAACCCTAGTGGTATCACAAAGTCACCAAATCTGCCTTCAAACTCTCTCACTCTTCTCACACATTATTTCTAATTTAAAACAATTAAGGTTATGTTTTGTACATTGTAACATATTCAAACAAAGAAGAGGTATATTTTATATTGTATACAGTACTGTGCAGCATGTGTTACTGAATATGACGAAGGGTTAGATCAATGATTTTGGCACAAATCTTCATTATATTTATATCGTTCTTCACTTGAGAGGGAAGTTGAAAATTAACTTGTCAAAGACTGCCTGATGGATATTGCTAAAGCATGCATTTCACAGAAACCCTTCAACTTCAGAGGCAGATGGAAAACGAATACAAATTGGCAGAAGTGACTATATATTTCGTGTAGTTTGAGAAGCAAGGATTGTCAAGAGGACTGCACTATCATTGATCAGCTGGGGCAGTGTGGGGTGGTGAAAACTGGTACATCTGTCTAGGTTTTGTAGATGATAGGATTCACTTGTGTGTAAGCTGGCCATTGACATTATAATGTACTTGATAAGGCTTATTACTCAACAGCCTGTAATGAAATGCTCATCTTGAGTATGATCTAGCATTTTAACATTGTTGATCATGAAATGTGACAACTAGAGATACAGGTGACTGACATTCAACTATTGTATAGATCATATTTAAAAATTAAGATGACAAAAATAAAGTTAGAAGTGAAGTCTTGTTAGTAATTAAATCATGTCTAAACCAACATTAAAGGTACAGTATGTCAGGTAATGCAAATACTGACTTCATAATCAGAGAAATCAAGGATAATCAAAGTACAGTCCCTTCAATCTTTAAAATCATTATTGGGCATGAAAGTTTTGAACGAAGAACTACACTGCCTAAGATCACTATAAACTGCAGCTTTAAAAGGAAAGGAAAGCATTTTCAATCAAAAGCAAAATACTTTCTTTACTCCAATAACAAACAAATGGAACTTACCAAATTATTTAATCAATGGACAGTATACATTTAAAACCAAAATTGAAAAGCAGTTCTACTACCATAAGCTTTCCATAGACAGCCTAGTTTAAATCTATTAGCTTGTTGCAGATTTAATTCCTTTGCAATTTATAAACCTGGGGGTGGGGGGGGGGGAATAGTTCATTAACTTTTTTTTTTATCAAGCATCACTAACAAAGCTTTGATGGCTTGTATTTATGGGTCAAGTGGAGAACACCTTACTGTATTGTTATTCAATCTCTTTAACAGTGACCTCAAGTAGACAAATCTCATATCAAAACACTAAATACTTTTACACTAATGCTTGGCCTACCTATTTTAATACGTTTTCCATGCTGTATGTCTGAAAATAAGCTGAGCTTACTTTATTTAATAAATTACTTGATTATTTTTAATGTACAATATACAGTACAGTATATACATAACATACGTTATAGAATCCATTAATAAAAATTAATACATTAATATTTAAACAACTTTATAAAATAGTACATAGGAACGTGATTAAATAGTAGGTACAGAAATCATACATTACATAAAGCCATTAATTATGATCAGTGTAAATCCTGGCTCACTGATGGTTCACTAGACAAAATCTAATACTCCCCGACAGACAACAGAGATAATATAGTGTACTTGCTGCAATCATTGTCAATGCAACTACACTCACTCAAGGTTAGAACCACCAATAGGACCTGCATGATTCACATAATACTAGTTTATGATAAAAACCAAAAGAACCCAACTTACCCAACCACCAGCCTTCCTGACGAAGGGCGCAATCACTTCACTGGCGTACGTGCCCATGAACGTTGCTATTGTGTCGTTGAAGTCCTCTATATTTTTTTCTTTGCAGTACAAAGCCAACTGTCCACCGAAGGCATAGAGAGCCACTATCCTGGCCCAAGTAATAGCCATCTTTCCACCTTCAAATAGTTCATTGGCAACCGCAACAAAGGACACGTATCCGGTCTCTCTGGTAATGTCAAATCTCTTCATCATTCCCTTGAAGAGTATCTCGTGTCTGTGCATCATCATCTTGACACACCTGAGGAGTGTCTCTTCCACCTTATCGTTCGACTTCGCCTCCGTCTTCTCCACCAGGGAGAACACTACATATTTGGCTAGACTCGCAGCCTTCTTCTCCACACTATCTCTCTCCCGCGACCTTTCCCGACTCTTGGCTTCCCTCTGGCTACAACTTTCTACGGTAGCCTCCTGCGTGTGGCCGCAGGAGGCGGCGTGGGAGGCTGGCTCCTGCTGTCCGTCACTGTCGCTGGCACTGCTGGTGCTGCCATTACTCACTTCCGCCTGCCCGTTCTCACACCTGCCCTCCGCTCTGCTCGCCGACGGCGAGTGGAACCCTTCGTCCGTCTCTGTGTCACTACTCCTCTTTATGACCACAGCCGGGCTGGCTTTGTTCGTTACGGGCGCCATCGCACACGACGTCAGCGAAGGTCACACTGGAGAGCGTTGGATCACAGCCGCCCTGTTGTTATTGTCAACACCCGACTGCTGCCGAGGCGGGCTCGGGCCTCCTCGGCTCCGTGACGTCACCGTCTTCCCTGCCTCTCGTTGGTTGTCTTGCGCCACTCCATGACGTCATCACCTCTCTCGCTCCCTCATTGGTCGCCCGCTCCGACAGCTGATTGGACCAGCTGGCCAAATAGGTCGCTCTTATGAGCATAGTATATAGAGCCTACTACTGCTCGGCACGGCCACTTGGAGATATTTGTATGGTCGTCGTTCAGTCATCCATTCACAATAATGTATACACGGAAAAAAGTCCAGCTACCTCCCAATTAATGCACACTAAAAGTTAATTTTAGTCCAGAATTATGTTCTGGTCGATCAGTAGGCTACTGTCATGGTCATAATAACTCCTTCAGAGGTTGAATTAAAGTCCTTAAGCTTAAAGCATTATGTAAGTTCAATTACGAACACTTGGAGTGTGTACCATGGTAGTCGGCCTGCGCCACAACCAGGCAGTCCTCTCCCGACCACTTGGTCACAATGGAATAGACATCGCCCAAGCATCTATATATCTTCACATCACACACCTTCCCAATACTCCACTTACAACAAAAAATTATCCCGACAGAGCGAGAATCTATAGGATTCTATAGAATCTATAGAATCACAATCGACTTGAGAATGGTCCAGGACGGACCGAAACGTCGTCGTCCCTTCAATTTCTAGTGTGTGGTCTGGTCAACGAGAATCTATAGGCCTTGACTTAGGGTAAAGCCAGGGTCCAGGGAGGGTAAAGCCAGGGTCCAGGGAGGGTAAAGCCAGGGTCCAGGGAGGGTAAAGCCAGGGTCCAGGGAGGGTAAAGCCTGGGTCCAGGGAGGGTAAAGCCTGGGTCCAGGGAGGGTAAAGCCAGGGTCCAGGGAGGGTAAAGCCTGGATCCAGGGAGGGTAAAGCTAGGGTCCAGGGAGGCTAAAGCCTGGGTCCAGGGAGGGTAAAGCCAGGGTCCAGGGAGGGTAAAGCCAGGGTCCAGGGAGGGTAAAGCCTGGGTCCAGGGAGGGTAAAGCCAGGGTCCAGGGAGGGTAAAGCCAGGGTCCAGGGAGGGTAAAGCCTGGGTCCAGGGAGGGTAAAGCCAGGGTCCAGGGAGGGTAAAGCCTGGGTCCAGGGAGGGTAAAGCCTGGGTCCAGGGAGGGTAAAGCCAGGGTCCAGGGAGGGTAAAGCCAGGGTCCAGGGAGGGTAAAGCCAGGGTCCAGGGAGGGTAAAGCCTGCACGGGTCCAGGGAAGATAAAGCTTGGGTTCAGGGAGGGTAAAGCCTGGGTCCAGGGAGGGTAAAGCCTGGGTCCAGGGAGGGTAAAGCCAGGGTCCAGGGAGGGTAAAGCCTGCACGGGTCCAGGGAAGATAAAGCTTGGGTTCAGGGAGGGTAAAGCCTGGGTCCAGGGAGGGTAAAGCCTGGGTCCAGGGAGAGTAAAGCCAGGGTCCAGGGAGGGTAAAGCCTGGGTCCAGGGAGGGTAAAGCCTGGGTACAGGGAGGGTAAAGCCAGGGTCCAGGGAGGGTAAAGCTAGGGTCCAGGGAGGCTAAAGCCTGGGTCCAGGGAGGGTAAAGCCAGGGTCCAGGGAGGGTAAAGCCAGGGTCCAGGGAGGGTAAAGCCAGGGTCCAGGGAGGGTAAAGCCAGGGTCCAGGGAGGGTAAAGCCAGGGTCCAGGGAGGCTAAAGCCTGGGTCCAGGGAGGGTAAAGCCAGGGTCCAGGGAGGCTAAAGCCTGGGTCCAGGGAGGGTAAAGCCAGGGTCCAGGGAAGGTAAAGCCAGGGTCCAGGGAGGGTAAAGCCAGGGTCCAGGGAGGGTAAAGCCAGGGTCCAGGGAGGGTAAAGCCTGGGTCCAGGGAGGGTAAAGCCAGGGTCCAGGGAGGGTAAAGCCAGGGTCCAGGGAGGGTAAAGCCTGGGTCCAGGGAGGGTAAAGCCTGGTTGCTTTTCCTGGCATGCATAGTGTGTGTTTTATTATTATTATTATATATTATATTATATATATATATATATATATATATATATATATATATATATATATATATATATATATATATATATATATATATATATATATATATATATAGGGGGGCACCACCTCTGGTTGCGTTTCTAAGGACCCTCGACCTCGAAGAAGATGATATGCAGCATGGCGGGAATGGTTCCTAGAATGCATAGAATTAATTCTGTGCATTGAACCCAGGTAGACACTACCACTACCAAGGTTAAAATACTCTCAAGGTTAGTCCCTTGTTACACTTACCAAAGTTTAATATGCAAGGTTAATCTCACAATATTAAACTTTTAAGGTATTTATTAATTCAACAAGTTACAGTGCAATGTTAACTTCCAACGATAATTTTATCACAAGTTATTTAACCCAACGTAAAACTTTCCCCAATGTTAATAGCTCTTATTATACTTACCAAAGTTAATGCAAAAGGGTTAATTAATCCAAAACTGAGGTTATTTAATTAATCAACATTAAAATTTTATATAATTTACAATTCAATTTATTAATAAACTTTATACCGTCGTAACGTGTTTGAATATATATATATATAATATGAGAGCAAAGCTTTATTGGTCCCCAAGCATAGAATTACTTTATATACCCTCAGGATTCGAACCCAGGCCGCCGTGGGTCTTCCCGTCAACAGAGTGCTGGTACTCTGACCACAACACCACGATGGATGGTGTTACCTATTATTATAGGCGCCAATAGGTCTATATAATCTCTGAACCCCTTGCGGCGCCTGTAGTAAGTGTGCACTAACTCATTAAACAAACTAGTGACTCAAGAGTGGACTAGTTCCAGCGCCCTCTACCAGCGCCTTGGTGTCGCAGTCCAGAGAGGAAATGCTTGCTGTATCTTGGGCACGCGCCCTACTTCCGAAGACCTGAAATTGCTGAGTGAGGTTATATGTAGCGAACAGTGATCGCTATATATGTGTGTGTGTGTGTTTTCTGTAAACTGTAACACATTGTGATTAAATAAATCAAATAAATAAATTATAGTGTATAAAATAACATATGCGACATACTCAGGAAGAACATTGACAAACTAAAAGACTAGAAACAAGGTGTGGATGGATGTTGTTGTAGATTCAGCTACTCGGAACAAGTTCCAAATAGCACGGGCTATGGTGAGCCCGTAGTGGACTTACCTGGCACAGGAGCGGTGCTGTGCGTGTGGATGGAATACAATTCAAAACCATTAAGAAACTGGCAGAAGAACTTCGGTTACCACTGAAATTACTTTTCACAAAGTCTTTGGACCAAGGAGACAATGTAGAACTGAGAACAAGAGATGCTGTTTCACCCACAGGGTTATTAGTCCATGGAACTGCCTACCCGCCGAACCCGTAAATGCCATAACTCTGTTAACCTTTAAAGTACAGCTGGAAAAGATCATTAAAGCAAAAGGAGGGACCTTCGACAAGCCACCGGCTTCCTGTCCTCGTCGAGGCCACTAGTGTTAGTGGCTCTCGGGTAAACTCAGGTAAACAGGTAAAATAATGAAAAAGTAGGTGTGGTAGGAGAATAAAATACTCAAGTGTTCAGGGAGAACCCACAATATCTCTGAATACCCTTTATCCCTTTCTCAGAGGCTTTGGGCTATTTATTGCACGAGCTGGCTATGCAAAATACATTCCATTTTTTATCTTTCTGTCTGTCTATCTATCTATCTATCTATCTATCTATCTATCTATCTATCTATCTATCTATCTATCTATCTATCTATCTATCTATCTATCTATCTATCTATCTATATCTATATATATATATATATATATATATATATATATATATATATATATATATATATATATATATATATATATATATATATATATATATATATATATAAACAACAGATAGATAGATAAGAAATGGAATGTATTATGCAGCTCGTGCAATAAATAACCCCTAGCTTCGTACTTTTCATGGTAATTTTCAGGATAAGGCACGAAACCACTATGACAATACAGCACACATTTTAGATGTTTAAAGCAAATTGTTGACAAAGTTGACATAGATGTTTATTTGAGGCGACCTAGGCTTTCTACGACCAACCTGACTTGGAAGAGACTAAGAAAAAATTCTCTGCGTTCTTGACTCTCATATATATATGTTCAGGAACCTGCGACTGTGCTCTGTAATAAACATTACTATCGCTGATATAATATTAACCATCCTTTATTAAACCATCTAGGAGATGACAAGGTTCGTCATAGGGGGAAATAGAGGCAAACATCGGTACCATTAGGCGTAACCAAACCATGCCAAGTCGGTACTTTCTACTGAGTCGAAGTAAATATGGAGGAGTCGATGCATGGTGGGAAGGTAGGCGAAGAGCCGCCCTGAGGCCCTCAACATTCCTGGACTGGTGTCTTCCCCCGCCCAGCCCAACGGTTCTCGAGACAGCGTTGGCCACCACCCACATTCCGCATCACTCTCACAAGATTTTAATTCGCACCTTACTCACAAGATTTTAATTCGCATCTTTCCCTCCTCCAAAAGCAGTAGTTACAGTTAAGGTTGGATGGAACATGTGACCTTACGCACCTTTTATTATATTGCATGTGGAAATTTGCAGCAATTTCCCGCCATTTCAATTATAGATCATGTATATAATTGATGCACGTCAGAGCAAGAGTTTCAAAATCTTGTTTGTATGGATATCGTTTCACGCAGATATTATCCATCATGGTACGGACAAGGCCTGCTAGAAAGTTTCATGTAACAAACCCAGGAATTTCAAACATTTCACACACACACACACACACACACACACACACACACACACACACACACACACACACACACACACACACACACACACACACACACACACACACACACACACACACACACACACACACAAGTGTAGATATGACAGAGCCCGATAGGCTCAGGAATCTGTACACCTGTTGATTGACGGTTGAGAGGCGGGACCAAAGAGCCAGAGCTCAACCCCCGCAAACACAACTAGGTGAGTACAACTAGGTGAGTACACACACACACACACACAGACGAGGATTGTAGGAT